TTTAGAATTTTTAGATTAAAGAGGTTGACAGTACAGTTAGGGATGAAGCAGAAATTCAACTGGCAGTTTAGCTCTATCATAAGCTATATCACCCTTTTAAAAGGAATTTATGAACAAATCTCTCTTTTCTGTCTTCCAGGCTTTGGATTGCATTTGCTCCCCAGACTTATCAGGGAAGTTCCAGAATAACAATTTTTAGAATTTTTAGATTAAAGAGGTTGACAGTACAGTTAGGGATGAAGCAGAAATTCAACTGGCAGTTTAGCTCTATCATAAGCTATATCACCCTTTTAAAAGGAATTTATGAACAAATCTCTCTTTTCTGTCTTCCAGGCTTTGGATTTCCCAAAATTATGTGAGCATTCTGTTCATGTTAGTTCATATTCTTTTGGATTTGTTTTGTAGACAGAATCTCACCTGTAGCCCCGATAGGCCTGGAACTCACTATGTAGCCAAGGCTGGCCTTGAATCATGATCCTATTGCCTCTTCCTTCCAAGTTCTGGCAATACAGGCATACACCTCAAAAATGAGGAGAAAGAGAGTTCCCTAGAGAGTTCTTACTGTCATTAATAAAAGAATTCAAGAACGGACCAAAACAGAAGCTTTTACAATTTTATTAGCATCTTAAAGAAAAATCCTCAGGGCAGGTGAACTGATAATCCTGGCAGCTGCCTTGAGGAGGTGAACTATGGGAAGAAGGAAAGAAAGTCATAGAGCCATGTAGGTTTAGGGCCTGCGCAGGAGGTCAGCTGGCAGCCACATGGCTGGGAAAAAGAAGCTTTAGAGAAAAAGTGAAGAAATACAAGATGCTAGGGGCAGCCCAAAGCCTTTAGGTATACTAAGAAAGGCATGAAGAAGAAAAGGAGAAATTATGCTTTCCTGAAGAGTTCAGAAAAGCAGACAGACTTACGGAGACCTACATGACTGTGGCTGGTCTGGAAGTTTTGCAGAGATATGAGCTAGTTCCAGGCAGGAAATATTAACTACTTCATTAACAAACCAGGTATTCTGCCCATCTATTTAGCATAACAAGATGAACCTTTCTACAGTGGTTCCATCACCAGGTAATTGACCAGTGACACTGGAAAAGTGGGTCCTCCAACAGATAGACTAGACATTTTTATAGTCTGGACCAGTTAAATTTATGGGGCTTATTGATACTCTAACATCTCCATATCTGGCTTGGTCAAGCTTCTTAGAAGAAACCTTTTAGCCTGGCTTGATGGCACATGCCTTTAATCCCAGCACTCCAGAGGCAGAGGAGGTGAATCTCTGTGAGATCAAGACCATCTTAGTTTACATAGCGAGTTCCAGACCATCTGGGACTACAGAGAGACCCTGTCAGCAAATAATTAATTAATTAATTAACTAATAATAAATAAATAAATAAATAAATGAAAAGAAAGGAGGGGAGGAAGGAAGGAAGAAAAAAGGAAAGAAAGAAAAAGGAAAGAAACTTTAGTCAAACTTAACAGAGTTCAGTTGAGCAAAAATAATTGATAATTCTAGAAGCACTCAGAACAGGAACACTTAGAAAGCTCAATCCAACAAGGACCTAAATTAAGCTAAATAAGCTAAGTAAGTAATAATATCTTCTGTAGCTAAGCATTTGACTTTTGAAGGCATGGCACTATGAGTCATTTCTTTTGTGTAGATATGTTTTGATATAAGGTCCTTGTTCTTGAAACAAGCTGATTGACTACTTTGTGATTGTCTCTGACTCATTTGCAGGAAATGTATCCAAGTGAGTAAGAGTGTGTTTACACTACAGTTCCTCCTTCTTTTGCCTTAACTCTCCTAAAACAATAGCCCCTTCATTTTACTTTGAGATGTGAAAATAACCTCAAGTTTTGTCTATTTGGAAACAAGAATAAATTTATAATCTAGCCCAAATCAGCATTCACAGTCTGGATATATTCAAGATAATCAAAATCCATTAACCTACGTTTTTCTCCCAAACTTGCCTCAATTCCCTTACTGTAATTAGTACCAGCATCCAATGACAGGTGTTGGGCACCTCAGATATGCACTGTGTCCCCTTCACTCTCCTAGCTGTGCTGCTCCTCCTCTTCTGGTTTCAGCTTCCTCTCCTTCTGCAGTGCTGGGCCCTTTGTCTTCCCTTTTCTGTTCTGCAACTCTAGCACTTATTAGAAATCTATATAACATCCT